ATTGAAGGTGTGTGTTGCTGACTATGTTGCATACATATTAATATGAACCACGTAAGCGGTACTAACACGTCAGCGCTGCCCATGAGAAAGTCAATTTTATTTTTAACTGAATAAAAATTACCATTTAGTATTCTTTCAGCTTCTGAAAATAATGTTGTTAAACTCCAATGTCATTGCCACCGCAGTGTTCACAAATCCTTTCTTTAATAAGTACAATATATATAATGGCGACCAAATTCATGTTTTAGGTGGTAGATACCGGAATTTGACGAGACTCAGAGAACATGTACTTTCTTAGTGTATTTTTAGCATTCAGTTTTGCTCTGTTATTATTAATTTCTTCTGTCCAAAAATTCCTTAAAGTTTTCATGAATGTGATTTATGATTTTCATTGTGTTAAAAATGATTATATTTTAAAGTACTAGCAAATCAAATACTAGTAAAACTGCCCAGAGGGTTGCCTAAATCGGCGTTTCAATTATTCCGCTTCTCAATGAGACACAGAGTTATTCAGCCAATCATCACAACAAGTAATCTGTAGAATGCTGTGTGGGTAATATTTTTATATTGATTTTTGTTGCATTTGCAGCAAATAGTTACCAAACAAGGAGAAATCTATTGAATTGGATATACTCTCAGCTGGCTTCAAATACATAGTTCAAGCCTGCCTAACCGATGCTTATATTAGGATTTAGTTGCAGCACCTAGACGGTCTGTGGTTACAGCTCCATGTTCTGAGTAATTGCAAGAAATTTACATCACAATAGAATATAAAAGACTGGCACTCCCATGCAATTAATAGCAAGTGAAATTCCTGGTATTGAAACATAGATTTTGAAGTCACTTATGTAGACAATGGATAACTTCAAGCTGGCATAAAGACGAGGTAGTTTATTTAACCAGTGCTGAACTAGAACCTGAAATTATAATTAAGTTCGTTGTCATATAATTTGTTTATTTCAATTTCTCTTGAAGTCAAATTGAATACATCGGTGAATGGATGTTCGAGGGAAATGGCATTTTCACTGGAATTTATTTTAGAGAAAAAATGTTTACAGTGAAAGTGAAGTATTTCACATTATTACATATGTACTGCAGTTTATTTTGATTCGTCCCTGAAATCAAAATCGGCATTTCCACACCACATATGCAAATGAGGTCTGAGAGCAAACAAAGCAGTCCTTTCAAGAGTAGCGTTTTTTGAAACATGGCAGAAATAAACTATATTTAAAAGTACGGTATTTTACCCTTTGGTACATGAATATAATTTGAACAACAGTAATGGTACTTTTAGGCAGTCACTTATTTTGACTAAAACTAATTTTTGGTATTTTCACGGTCAATATGGAAATGAACATGGTATTGGCGATCCGCTCCACTGAGAATGCCCTTAAAATCACTTTTGTGTGTCTTGGCTTGGCCGATTTTGCTCAAACTTAGCAGGTAGGTCTGGAAACAAAATTTGCCCACCGTTGCCATAGCAACAGCCCAAAAACTGATTTGTTGATAACTTCGTGCTAAATGTATCTCCAACAAATTTAGGATACAAGGCCTCAGACATAGCTTATTTTACTCAGCTTGAGTGTGGGCACCAAGTTACTTTTTGTAAAATCTGAAAACAAATTCAGACCACCGTTCCCATGGCAACAGCCCAAAAAAACTGATTCATATACCCTCACGCCAAATGCCATCACACCCTACATTTCTATGATTAAAAAGCACGGACGTAGCTCATTCTACTCAGTATGAGTGGGGGCAACAATTTACTGTTTATTTTCATTACCGAGAAAATGGACCCCAACGTTCGGGTAACTTTTCACCAGCAACAGCTTTTAACTCCTCTCTAAGATTGTTTTGGCTTGGCTAATTTTGTTCATACATGACAGGCAGATCGTACCGTCACTAATTGAAAAAACAATCCTGGCCCACAGCTATCGTGGCAACAGTCAAAAACTGTTTTTTGAATACTTTCGCCCCAAATTTATTACCTCTTACCAGTCTTGTAATAGCAGTGTTTAAATGACCATGCCTTTTATTCTGGCTACGTTGCACACCGGCGCCGACATTGTTACACTGTATCAACGTAATCACAACGCAACTTTGAACTTTGAATGAAATGTGAATGCTGCCTCCAATCTAGAAAATACTATGCAAAACGGTTGGAAATAATACATTTAACGGCAGAATACGTCCTAGCAATAAAATAAAGTGACTTCTAAAGACTGAATGTTTTTTGCGAAGATGCCCGGTTTTAGTTATAAACCGACGTCACGTTACCTTCACGTTCATGTCCCACCAAACAGCCGAAAACATACTGCTTGTTTTTTTAGCATTTTTGGCATGTTAAGTGTACATCACATGGAATACTACGATTGAGAGAACTTGATGTATGTTGAGTTTTATAAACCCTGAAGCACTCTTGGAAGATCCCCCGCAGTAAAATTAACGATTGCCATGGAGGCGCAACCATCAACATCGAAGTACCAGGATGTTCCTGCTGGCGACGTTGCAGCGTTACTCAGTTCCAAATAAAGATTACCAACGCCAAATGAGCAACATTTTAATAACCGGTAATCAAGATTCATTCAATCCACGGCTAACAAGCTACATCACAAGCGAAGTTGTAGCGTGGAGGAACTTTTAACTTCAACATAAATTTGTGTCAACCCTTCACCATTGTATTCAAACGAATCACGTGGTGTGCCGTTCTCCTTCAAACCCGGCATTCAATC